TTGCTTAGGGGTTTCACCAAAGACCTGGCATTGACTTCACTAACTTTTAGTCCTATGGTTAACCCTACAACCATTTGAACTGTCCTTACTATTGCATAATCTCAAGGATGGCAACTTCGACAAATGGATGTAAACAATTGCATTTTCGCATGGAACATTATCTAAGGATCTTTTCATAATCCAACCTCCTAATTTTGTTGACTCCACTCATCCTCCATATGTGTGCAGGTTGAAGAAAGTACTTTATGGCCTAAAGTAAGCACCTAGAGAATGGTACAAAGCTCTAAGTTCTTTTTTATCTCTTTTGGCTTTATCCAATCCAAATATGATGTTTCCTTGTTTATATAATCGAATAGTACCACTATTGCCTATCTTTTAGTCTATATTAATGACATTGTTCTAACTAGCAGTAGCAACTCTTTGACTGATGAAGTCATCAACGTTATCTCATAACAATTTTTTATCAAAGATCTTGGGTTATTACAATACTTTCTTGGTGTTGAAGTATTACCTACAACTGCTGGTCTATTTTTGTCTCAATAGAAATATATCCATGATATACTTGATCGCTTTCATATGGTTGGTGCAAAAGAAGTCTCAACACCTACGGCTACAAAGTGTTCTTTGTCTTCTTATGATCATACAAGTACTACTGATGCCACAAAATACAGACAGTTGTTGGATGCTTTCCAATATTTGTAATTTGCTCGGCCTGATATTGCATTCGGTGTTAATAAACTATCTCAGTTCATGCATTCCCAGACTGAACAACTTTGGAGTGCTACAAAATTTCTTTGGCATTATTTAAAGGGTACTATATCTTATGGCCTACATCTCACTCCCAACTCATCTTTTTCGTTATGCAAATTTTCATATGCTAATTAGGCTTCTAATGTTGATGACCGCAAGTCTACTTCAGCCTATCTTATTTATCTTGGTTCCTCGCTTGTCTCTGCAATGGTATCACCAGATTGAGGGGCATGTCAAGGATAAGGGCACTTGAAAGGGCACTTGAATAGGAGATAGAATAATTAGTATTTCAATTTTAAATAAATCTTACCTTGTAATATAATTATCTGTACATTTTAAATATCTATTTATCTTGTAATTTGATAGAGGTCTATAAATATAATACCTCAATTGTATAGATTAATATAGAAAAATACAACCGATATTATTATTATCTTTTAGTAGCATCACAAAATATTTTACTAATTTGGACCCAAATTAGGATACCTTTCCACATCTTTTGTGTTGTCTATTTTTTTTTTTTTTTGGATAGGTATTTATTATTGATATAAAAAGAAAAAACAATAAACCATAATGCAGCTTATTTAGTTAACGTACATACTACAAGAGGAAATAAAAACCCCAAGGCAAGGAGAGCTAAATTTCGGGATGTCTAACTCAGGAGTGCACATTCTTGCACTGTCCAACTATTGCACTGTTGGAGCCTTTTCTGTCTGAAACTCCACTGTCCTAACTTCTAGTCATAAGCCCTTTCCATTCAGGACTCCAAATGTTTTAGAAGTCTTTCAAAGTCCACCTCCCCACGGATAATAAAGTTGAATTTGAAAAAGTTTAGATTGTTGCTAAATTATCTCTCTTAATAACTCTGCTGGCCACTTGATTTCCACGTTTAATACTCAGAAAATAAAACTCAGCCAATGCACTCTGCACAGGTAACTCACGTGCTACATTTTGCGCATCCGTAAAAGGCTGTGTTTGGACTACCCTCTTAACATACTAGTGCAATCGGCATGTAGTGCCATCACCGTAATGAAACATAGACTTTTATACTTTGTTCAAAACAGAGTAATAAAATGATTGGCTAATCTATCTCCTTTGAAATATTTAATGAACTTAAGCTTAAACCTATTTATCTAACAAAAAACCATTAAACCTACTACATATATATCTCACGCTCATCTTGCTCAGCTTCTGCACAAAATCTTCTTTCAATTCAGATTTACTAGTTCCCCAACAGGGCCCCAAATCAATTTGCTGATAGTTTGAGTGATTAAAATACTATTAACTTAATCAGGTATGAAGGCCACCCCTAACAATCCTTGATGGTTTCATTAAATGTTTTAACTATCCCTTATGAGACATTAGGCCATAACCACACAAACAAATAGAGAATGGCTTAGCCAAAAATGCAGAATTTAGCCCAGCCAAAATGAGAAAAATGAAAAAAAGGAGAAATATAGAAAAACAGGAGAAGTGGCAGTAGATAAAAAGAAATAATCTTAGATGACTCAACATATTTTGTATTGGCGGATGGCAAACAACCTGTTTTTAGTAGCCAATAACAAATATTTTCACTTTACATAAATCTGATTAGCCATCAAACATCTGATGCTATAGCATGGGCAAACTAATTGAGCCATCCCAGTTTGATACAAATTTAGATGAACCTAGTCATAAACTACATTAAACTTAATGGGTCTGTTTCAAACTTCATATTGACGGAACTGTCCTCTGCCATCAGTTTCACTGCAGCAGGATAAATACATGTGTGTGCTTGCATACGCAGGCTGTACACAGAATTGTGTGAATGTATACATACATCAATCAAATTATAATCAATGAATAATTTATCCTAGCCCTCAATTATCTCAACTCGGGTTTAGTAGGCTAATGCTTATTTTCTAATTTCTCTACTATTTTTGCTCATTTTCGATTGTTTCATCCGTTATCTTTCTAGTGTGATCTTTTTCCATCTATTCTCCAATTTTCTTGGAGTAGAATCGAGTTTGGTGATTTCTACTAGATCTCATGTTCCCCTGGTAGATGTATGCATTGCAAGATCTTTGGGCAAAAAGAATATAAAGACTACAAACCAAAACAAAATAAACAGTTAGTCTGGATTCTTAGAGTTCAGAAGTAGGAAGCAGTGCACCCCAGCATATTAATGTCTCTTCTAACAAGTTTGCTGTTCTTGACTCTTTATTTGAGGATCCAAAATCTGATGATACTACTTCCTTGAAGGATCGAATGCAACAGTTGGGCTGTCCTTACGCTGAGCAAGATGGAAACATCAATCAATGTAATGTCAGTGATGCCACTGATGTTCAAGGTGTTCAGGGGATTGAGCCTCAGAAAGTGCTATCAAATCCCATATATATGTCTCCTGAAAAGCCTAGAGCTACGGGTGTAGGGGTCTCAGAACTATTGACGAAGTTTTCTCTAAATAAATGAAAAGAAAGAAAAAGGGTAAAACGCTAGCAAAAGGTAATGCCAGTTAAAAAGTGATCCTGTTAGAGGCAGTTCTTCTTTCTGTTCTTATCTTTCATGTAGTATGTTAACATGGAACATCAGAGGGATGAATGGCCCTTTGAAGTAGAAGTGAAGTTATTAGCTAATTCTTTGAAAACTAATGGTTTAGTTTGCATTCTTGAAACTAGGGTTAAGCAGCATAATTCGGATAGTATCATTTTTTCTCTTGCTAGAAATTTGGATAGTATCTTAGCTAGGAGTTCTACAGGGTGGTCCATTCTTCATAACTATGAGGAGGTCAAATTTGGGTGCTATATAGAAATGTTACAATATCCCCCATATCCTGATCTAATCATGTTCTTACTTGCCATATCACCTCTGGTAAAGTTCAATATTATTTCAGTCATCTAAGGTACCAATGATGCTTTGGACAGAAAGATCTTTTGGGAACAACTACCTAATTTTCATTCCACTCATTTCCTTGGTTGTTGGCTGTGGACTTCAACATAACCAGAAATAGTTATAATAGTTCTCAACCTAAAACGTCAAATACTAAAGACTTCCACTCTTGTTTCATGACCCTCTTTCTAGGAAGCTAAACAGAGTCACGATTAATAAGCCCGAACTTGATTCCTTCCCTTCTTCTGTGGAATTCTTGAGCCTTGAAGTTTCCGATCATAGCCCCTCTTTCATCAAACTGCAATCTGCCTCACTTTCTCCTCCAAAACCTTTCAAGTTTTTTAACTACTGGACCAAGAATGATGAGTTTTTAAGCACCATTGAGAAGTTTTGGAAATCACAAACAACAGGACACCATATTTATGGAACACCTCTCTTTGTTCTTATTGGGAAATTTGTAATTTTTTGTCTGTAGATAAAGTTCATTTGTACATTGTAAATGTATAGTTTATACAGTTTGATTTGGTAGCAGGTTCTTTTCTCCTGCTTACTTGGATAAATGAAACACACCATTTATCCAAATCAAAAAAGAATTGTATCTTTCTTCCTTCATCATCAATACAGAAGACGATTTGATCTCTTAACTAAGATCGATTACATTCTAAACACTTTACATTCATCATTACCCAGTTCAATGTAATCCTCACATTCTCAAACTAGTTTTTGGACTTTGGATCCCCCTCTAAAAGCATTATCGAACATAACAGCAAGGAGTGAACAAGCCAATCTACATAAAGCTGTGGAAAGGTGAGCAAAGAGCAAACTGAAATACAGAAGATTGTCCAACTTAGATGATCGAGTCAAAAGCAATAAAAAACATAAATACAACGAACCAAGCAGCAGGCGAAACATGACTTGGAATAATAAGGACAAAACAGCGGGAGGGCAAGGGTAGGGAGAAAAAGTGATTCTCTAGGGTTGGCAGACTATAAATTGCCAACAGAAACTATGAAGAAACTATGAAACTATGAAGAAAGTTTTATAACCATCCTCAAATTGGGAAGCTTTTATTTCCCATGCTTGCAAAACAAAATCGTTTTAAAAATAACCTTTAAAATTCTTGTGCATAATTCATTTCATTTTTTTGCTCCATCTTTAATTTTTTTCTCCTAGCACTGCATTACAAAAGGTTATACTAAAACAATAAGAATTCAATCAACCGCATTCCAATCTCACACCAGTTATAGTGTTTTACTGCATAAATCCTTTTCTTCCATTCTGCCCTATGTAGAGCTATATCGATCATCTAAAACAAAGATCTCTCGCGCAAAATTAATAAAGTAACCCCAGAAATGTTACATGACCAAACCATGTATACTGTCCTCCTCTTTAAGTTACACATTCAATTTGTGCGATATACTTTCTTTTGAATAACTGTATTCCTCTGTCTTTTCTCGTACAGCTATACACCCATCCCATCATTCTCATTCTAGCTACAACAGCAGAACGGATAGCACTAACAGCATCAAAGCAACAGGAAACAAAGTCAAATCTTGGAAAATTATACTATCTGCCGTTTCTGACAAGAATGAAAAATTTTCAGCAAGTCCAAACACTTTAAAAACCAATTGCCAACTTTAACACATAGCTCTTATATCCATTTTCATGCTACATAAACAAAATTTGAATTTTTTTAGCAACATGGAACCTTAAGTTGTGCATGTGAAAACAGTTCAGACTTCATATAACTTCTGATTAATATAATCAACAAAGCATAAATAAGAAAACAGTACCGGAAGTAGGAGAACCAATCAGCTGCGAAGAAACCAAGGGCGCATACATGTAAATTCCAGATTTCATATACTTTCCAAACTTCTTTAACACGTTCTTCCTGTTTCCTTTAATGACTTCTTTCATTTTCACTCCTGAGGACAAAAGGAAGAACCAGTTCAAGTAGAAAGCTGATCGAAGAAAGAAACTAGTAAATAAGAAAAGAAGAAACGGTTACCAGAACGAGGAGGAGAAATGAGAGGAGCAAACATGTAAGAGTCGGATTTGCGGTAGTCTAAAACATTGTTGAGGAATTTCTTCTTGCTTTGCTTGGTCGCTTTGCTCTTCTTTTGAACTCCTAAGGACACTCTCTTTGTCTTTTCCATGTTTTCATTGGATTTAGCAGCTGTAAATAAATGACAAACAGACTTGTTTTTCAAGCAGCACGTACCCTGTACTTCATAGTTCTGGTTGAAGAGAGAGATGGACAGATGAATGTCGTGGCGGTAATTTGGGACACCTGTCGTGCTATGAAGCAGCAACGTGTCTTCCAATTTCAGGTTTCTGTCACACGTGGCAATAGTGGACCTGCTGTTTTGCCCGCCACCGTTTCCGGCTTTTCAGTTCCAAAAAGGAATACATATTTTTATATTTATAATAATTTTAAAGAAAAACATTTAAAAAGATTAAGAGGAGTGAAAAGGAAAATAAGAAAAACCAAACTAACAATTAATTTCACATGTAATTTTTTTTTCTTTTCTATCCTTTATCTTTGTCTTTTTTTCACCAAATTAAAATTTTAATAATTATTTTATCCAATTTTAAAATACTAATTACTAGTAAAAAGATATATATATATATACTTGATTAGATTTTTTAAAAATAAATTATTGTAAATAATAACCTTGCTCCACACAAAAAAATATATATTTTTAAAAATAAAAAAAATCAAAATGCTGTGAACTATAATTTGAAAGAATGAACTCATATGAGAAATATAAGATAAAATATTTAAAAGGAGAGAAAGTATTTAAATGGAGTAAGAAGATCTTATTTAAATGTTTATTTACAACTAAAGTGAGGAGCCTATTTATAGACTAATAATCCTTTATCTAAATAGAATTTACAAAATAAAGATAATACTAAGAGACTAGATGAATAGATTAAATTCTAATTTTAATTTAATCTAATTTTTATCTAACTTTAAATATAACATAAATAAATATTTATAAAAATATTCATAACACTCTCCATGAATGTCCATTGTATTAAAAATATACCTCGTTAAAAACTTATCAGGAAAAAACCTCATGAGAAAAAAATTTGAGTGAAGAAAAAATAATATATAATTCTTTAAAGAATATGCTTTAGAAACAATATCTCATTAAAACTTTATCAAGAAAAATCTAGTGCAAAAAAAGAGTACAGTGTGTTTTTTACCCCCTGATAATTGCATTATTTAATATCTTTAAAATGATTTCCAACGATTTGTATCAATTTTTAAACTATTGTAGTAAGAAGGATTTTGGTGAATAAATCTACTAGATTGTCACTTGAACAAATTTGTTACATACAAATATCACTATTTTCTTGGAGATTACGAGTGAAAAAGAATTTTGACAAAATATGTTTCGTTTATTACTTTTCAATGTATCCTTCCTTTAGCTAGGATATGCAAGTGATATTACCTTCATATAACATTGTTGAAACTTCTTTCTTGATTGACAAGCCGAATGTTCCTCAAATATATTAAATTACATATCTTAATCAGACACATTCACAATTTACCTCATAAATTACTAAAATTTCTAAAAAGTGATTTTAACTCTATATGTTGTCATTATTTGGTGAATACAATTATTTATACAAGAATAATTGGTTGACGATTGCCGAAGGATGCTTCCTAGAATTAGACTTATCAACTTATTATAATTATCCTATACAAGCAAAAGATATATATAAATATATACACATCAATTAGAAAGAGAATATGGGAGAAAATTAAGCAATTTTGTGATCCTATCCGATCTTTTTGTGATCCTATCTTTATTACTCCCCCTCAAGTTGAAGTGTGGAGATTTGAAACACTCAACTTGCCAAGTAATTCATGAAAAAGGTCTTGCCTAAATGCCTTACTAAAAATACTTTCTAGTTGAAATTTTGAAATGATGGATCTAGGAATCAAAGTTTAAGACTAGATATGCTGGCAAATAATATGACAATCAATTTCTATGTGTTTCATGCGTTCATGGAACACTAGATTGGCAGTTATGTGGATGGCAACTTGACTGTCACAAAAAAGTGGTACTAGGTTAGAGAAAGGCACCTGTAAGTCTAGTAGTAACCTCAATAACCAATAATTTCACTATAAGAGGTGGCCATGGCTCAATACTCTACTTCTGTAATGGAACGTGAAACAACTGTCTATTTTTTTGATTGCCATAAATCGGTGATGACTCAAGAAATATAATGTAGCCAATAGTAGACCGACAGGTAGCAAGGCATCTTGCCCAATTTGCATCACAATATGCCCGAAGAGATAATGAACTGTTAAAAGGTAACAAGAATCCTTAACTTGGAGCATTTTTTAGATACTGAAGCACACAAAAAATTACATCTAAGTGTGGTTGTCGAGGATTATGCATAAACTAACTCAATATGTACACAACATAATTGATATCTGACCTTATAATGGTGAGATAAAGCAAGCACCCAACAAGTCGTTGATAAAGTCCAGGATCACAACAAAGAGGCCTACTATCATATACAAGTCTGTGCTGTTGGTCTATTGGAAAAGATGAAGGCTTGTACCCCATCAATCCACACTAAGATAAATTGTTCAATACATACTTACGTTGGCTCAAAACTATACTAGAAAAGGAACAAGCAACTTTTATGCCAAGAAAGTATTTTAATTTCCCAAGATTTTTTATACGAAATGTTTTGTCCAAATAGCACTTTAGTTTAACAATGCATTTCGAATCAGTTCTTGTGACTATCACATCATCTACATATATTAAAACAATAATAAAGGATGTACCTCGATGAAACAAGAAAAATGAGTGATCTGCATTAGATTGATAAAACCCAATGGTTAGTAAGGTTGTAATAAATTTGCGATACCAATTTCTAGAAGCTTGTCTAAGCCTATATAGAGATTTTTGCAACTTATAGACATCTCGCTCCCCATTTCAAGCAAATGCTTGTGAAATTTTCATATAAACTTCCTCGTCTAGATCCCTATGCCGGAATGCATTATTGATGTCCAGTTGGTGTAATTCTCAATTCTATACTGAAGCCATTACAAGCACACACTTGATAGTCACCAATTTGGCCATTAGTGTGAAAGTTTCATAGAAGTTTACCCTTTCTATCTGAGTGTAGCCTAAACAACCAAACAAGTCTTATGTCGCTTCACACTTCCATTTGGGTTGTACTTGATTTTGTACACCCATTTAGAATTAATTGCTTGTTTTCTAGGTGGCAACTCTTTAAAGACCCATGTCTTATTTTCTTTCGAGGCAAAAATTTCCTTTGCCATCTCATCCCACCAATGGGCATGTTTCACAACTTGATAAAAATTAGTTAGCTCATCGATGGAAGAGATGGCCACCAAGAAAGCATTATGATTATGTGAAAAAACGTGAATAAGAGAAAATTGTGAAAGAGGGTATACTATAGAGTTAGTAGTACGTGTAGAAGTGTGCGTGGGAGAAAACAGAGTAAGAAAGAGGGCAAGGTGAAATCATAGTCTGCCAATTTTCATGGAACCTGATGAGTTCTCTTTCCTATCACCACTTAGAAATCTATTGCCAAAATAATACTAGAGGCGGCACCCAATTAAGTCTCAACATGCATCCTTGGTTGTTGGTTGGATTGAGAGACTATTTGTGGTAAAACATCTCCACTGTCAATCTCTTGCTCTACTTGTAGCCCACGTTCATCTAGCCTACTTGCATTACCTAACTCATAAGGCTCAGTTTCAACACAAGGCCCACTATTGGCTTCTGTGATTCGCGCAACCTTACCACACTCCATCCATGAGCTAACTCATTAAATGAACTCATGCATGGACCCATGAACAGTTCATCAAAGGTATGAATCGGGTTATCATGATCTGTTGCTATTCCAAACACTAGTATGTCTGCTATTGGTGACCTATCAGATCCATTGCTTGCCTTGGTTAATGCACTGGGAAAGACATTCCCAAAAAATTGCAAGTAACATGAAATATAGATCTTCTTATCTTCAGTGTCGAATTTTCGATACCTTTTTTGTTCATGTGGGTATCCCAAAAAGATACCTAGTTTCGAGTGAAGTGTAAATTTGTCACAAGGTTTGTTGGTGATGAGCTAATAACATCAACATCCCAAGGTTCTGAGAAGTTGGTAAGTTGGTGGTCTCCCAAACAAAATTTCATAAGTTCATTAAATATGCAACTATCAAAACACACTCACCCTAAAATTTTATGAGTAGGTGTGCTTGAAAACATAGTCGTCGTGCAACTTCAAACAAGTGTTTGTGCTTTCTTTCTACTCTCCCATTTTGTTGTGGTGTGTTTGTGCAACTTGTTTGGGTTTAATCCCCATTGTCATTGTAGTAGATAAACAAATCACTGTGTTTGAATTCCAACCCATTGTCCGAATGTATAATTTTCACTTGTGTGTTCAACTAAGTATGTACCTATTGATAAAAGTGCAGCAAGCAATCACGTGTTTCTGACATATACTTCATCAAATATACCCAAATGGCCCAACTAAAATCATCAACAATGGTTAAAAAATAAAAGACTCCAAATAATGACAGAGTTTTATAATCTTCCCAAATGTCCCAATGGATAAGCTCAAAGATTCCGCTAGATTTCTGAGTACTAGCAGGAAAAGGTAAACAATGTTGTCATGCTCTACAACAAGCATCACAAAATTTATTTTCCCTAACATTAATAGATAAATCCCCAATAAAGGGTGGACAGTTTATTAGTAAATGTCCCAATCATCGATGTCACATCTTTGTGTGCCTCGTATTGCTTGCCACCAATGCCTTCCTTTTTCTTATTAGTTCCAAATAGTAGAGTCCATTATGCACCCTACCTACTCTAATCGACCTCTTTAAAGGTAAGTCTTGTATAACATAAAATTCAAGCCAAAAACTGAATACACAATCAAATCCTAGGTTAATTTGCTAATAGATAATAAATTAAAATTAAAATTCAAGATCCTAAGGACTTGGTCCAAGACCAATATTTATTTAATTCAACATGGCCGAAAGCTTGCATAAGAACCACTTCTCCACTAGGTATTTGGACTAAAAAAATTAAGCTTGTGTTAGACATTAATGAAAAGGCCCAATTCTTTTGTAATATGGTTTTTGGCCCCACTATTTATGACCCA